AAGAATATTAAGAGAATTTAAAAAAACACTCAATATTAATTCTTATATCATATATATGTTTTTTTTCTCTATTATTATTCTATTTAAAAATTTAGATGATATTTTCTCTTCTCAAGTAAAAAACTATAATATAGTTAAATAGGATTGAATATCTATGTGTTGTATGTGCATTATACAAGATTATATTTATACTTTAATTTTTTATAATATTATTAATTATTATTATCATTATTAATTGTTTTTAACGTTCAATTAATCATAATCAACATCTCAAGAGACAATTTAAAATTTTCAATGGCTGGATAATTTTTTTTTTTAACGGGATTACAAATTAGGGATAGACGAATTCAAATTCCGACTCTTAAGTTGGAGATGCACTTTTTAAATCGATTTATAATCGTTGAATTGTAAGGTTCAAGTGATTGAATGTGGATGATTAGATGAACTACAATTTTATATTCTTTAACTGTTGTATTAAATATCTAAAACAGAATTATGAACAATAATCTTTTTTAAATAGAGGTAAAAGATTTATATTCTAGTTACAAAATATATAATTGAAATGAATTTAAAATTTTTTTATTATACAATTTAAAATAATAATAAGAACCAACAATTTAAAAATTTTGATAATCATCCTTTCTTACTAAAAGTAAAAAATTTTGAATTTGAGTCACATGACATACAGATAAAAATGAGATAAAAGATAAAAAATGAGTATTTTATATTATGCAATAAATATCAAAATAAGAATAATAATAAGAGAAAGAGAATTACGTACGACATAGCTAGGCAAACATAAAATTAGCGAGTCTTATGGAGTAACTTATGCTAGAACTTACGAGAAAAAAAAAAAAAAGACTGAATCTTCCGCCCATGCGACCGCATACAAGTCTTAGATGTTAAGGTGGCTACATTTGAACTAAATCTGACCCCGTGGTGCTAGCCGCATGTAGCTAGGTACTTTAATTAAGACAACTTCATAATTGTCAACTTAGTTATTGAAACTTGAATCTAGTCAAACATTTTTGTAACACTTTGAAGCTATTTTCTCTTTTATTTCCCACATTTTAAACGAAAAAACAAAAAAGAAAAAAAAAAATCAAAAGAAGAGAGTATATCCTCTAAAGCCAAAATGCATATTCCTTATGACGTGAAGTTTAGCATTAAATTAAGTTAGGGTAAAATAACTTCAGTTAAAATCTTTAATGATTTTAGGACTTTTCAGACATAATTATGGTTATTTTGAGTTATTGGTAATAAGAGTAATAAATTATTTTATTGTATATGATGACACTCTCCATCTTCCTAAATAAAAGATTAAAATTTACAGAAGTGGACTTTATCAAGAAGTAGATACATCAAAATCAAGGACACATTGGAATAAACTCTAGATGTCAAGACCAAAATGGTTTGTAAAATGCGACATCCCAACTATATAATATACATCCACTTGAGTGCAAAATTTCACCTGAATAATAGGGGCATGTTTGAACCTTAAATGAAAATTCCCCATACATCACATTCTCTTAGGATTGCTCTTTGAATTCAAAATCCAAAACAATTTCTTAATCCATCAATTTATTCTCCATTTTATTGTACCTTCATAACAATGTTGACATAAACAGATACTATTTCACCCACAAAACCAAAATAGTGTGTTCTGTTTTCAAATGGAAAGTCCTCCAATTCTGCTTCTTAACCCAAATTTTTGCCTTCTTTTTTCCAAACTCAGAGTTCAACTTGAACACAAAGAACTTAAACAGGCCATAACAAAATAAGAGTTTAATACACTCTAAATTTCTTCGTCTTTAAATAAATTTCAGCAGAAACTGAGGCAAACGTTATTAATACATGAAATTCAGCCCTTCATCAATAATTCGGACACCTGTGATTGGTCTAATTGCGTGTACAATTATCAACAGTCTTGTATCTAACAATTCTATGATCCTCAAAGGCTAGCCAACAGAACTCAGACTACAATTTCAGAGGAAGGGGATTTTGCATCTTCCTTCACAGCATCTTCTGCAGAAGCCACGGTAAAAGGAACGAGACGCAAGATGTTACTTATAAAAGGGAAGAATCAATTAGACATATATAAATGCATATTTCACCATATCAGTGAGTTTCAGCAGATCCAAAATCCTTTCAGCAACTTGTATGTCACAACATCATATTTTAGTCAAACATGTTAAAGGACAAGAGAAGAAAACATCCATCTATGCAAGTCTAAAATGTAATTATAACACTTGTAATGACATGTAACTAGTATTTTGAACTCTATCAAAGATGAGATTGTAGACAATGAGCATTCAAAAACTTTATGAATGTTGTTATCTGTTTATGCCAAAATGAACAGCATAGCTTAATTTTCTTTGATTGTCAAATGCTTTACTCAGCTAGCTTCATCTAACATTTAAAAACCATCCAAAGTGAATGAAGAAGACTGTAATCTGTGAAACTTTAGCTTCTTATCTTGGCAAAGTTTACATCTAATAAAAACGCGAAAGAAAACCCAAAAATTACAAAATCTGTATTTGCAAGAAACTGAAAGTCCACTACAACATTGATGGAGCTTTCATCGTCTCTCATTTTCTATACGACCGTCCCAATGTTAACACTCGAGACTCACTAGCAAGTAGCAGTAGACAGAGTTTACAACCAATAGTTAGAAGAACTCCTGCCTTGCTATCTTACAAACAAATTGAAGAAAAAGTTTCTCTGAACTAAATAATTGAGATCATGCACTTCTTTTTTTGTTTGTTCAATAGCAGTACTGACCCAAAGCTCACCCTTTTTCAATCTTAGCTATGTCATGCATAGCAAATTGTAGAGTTCAAAACTGACATCTTCAAATCCAGACGACCCCAGAAATATTGAGTGTAAATTCTTACTATGGAACTTTATACTCAATCAGCATATAAACGGTTAATCTCAGATGATATTTCCCTTTGAAAACGAATCCCGGATATTCAAATGAAACCCGAAAGTGAAGTTACCATTTTTGCTTCGAAAACCGAAAGAGAGCAGGAAGTACCGATATGAGGAGCTGGGGCTTCGCCATAGATGACCTTGAGTGTGGCGAGAGGGACGAGAAAGGAAACAGGGACGGCTTCGGCGAAGAGCTGCTGCTTCCAATCTCACATGGTCTTTATCATGGCCTTGTTGGCTTTGATCAGAGATTCCTCCTCGGCCTCTGGGATTTCAATGTTGTTTTGCTGGTTCACTGATCTCGCGCACAATGCCGCGAATGGGGTTACCAAGAACACGTCGATCACCACGTTATTGCTTGCTGCTCTCGTCGCTAATCCCACTAGTTTGTTGGCAATTTCTATTTCGTCGCCGTCGATGGAAAGCCGCCGCCGATTTTGGGGTAGGCAGTAGTAAGTGCTGACTTCTCCGTTGTCTTGGTTGGACTTCGCTTTGAGAAAGAAAGAAATTGCATGGGCCAAATTGATTTGGGCTAAGATTGAAACTCTCGGTTTCGGGCCTTAGCCCTTGGGGCCGCCATAAAAAAAACATCTTCTTTTACCAATCCAAACAAGTAGTACAAATATGAGAGGTGGATTGAATCATTGAACCCAAGCCCAAGGTTCAGGAAATGTTCCTTGCCAGTTGCCATCTTCATCCGCATGGTTATTATTTTGAAAAAATAATAATCATTTGTTAAATTATTTTGTTTATGTAAATTACACATAGTTAGTTTTTGTTTTGACCATGCGTTGTACAGTTTTTTAAAAATTATTTATATTAGAGTTTAGATTTTTTATTATTTTTTTATCAACTCTTGAGTTTTATAATGATTTTTAATTAAAAAATTTTAATTAAGTAATTAAAGTTGAGTT